AGATACGGAGGATCCCGGATCTGCGCACCTTCCGCGCGCCTTAAAGACCTTACTATTTCACCAGGCCGGCCTGGCCTAATTTTCCCCCTCTTTTATAAAAGATTTTTAAAATTTTAAATATCTTTTAGTATTATATACTCAATTTTAAATTGGTTTTAAAAGTTTGGGGTTTTAAATTTGTCGGGGCCAAAATTATTTAATTTGATTTTATTCTATTTTTAAATTTTGTATTGTATGTGTTTTATTGTTTGGCTGTGCACCGCCCTGAGTCCTTCGGGAGTAGGGCGGTATAGAAATCTAATAAATAATAATAATAATAATAATAATAAAAAACTAGACATACCCAGTTCCTGCAACTGTTTTCATATGTTTTAGCCTCCAGTCCCCTAATAATCTTTGTTGCTTTCTCTGCACTCTTTCTAGAGTCTCCACATCTTTTTTACATCGTGGCAAGTGTGGGCAGGATTTTTAAATATTGTGCCTCACTTAGAAGGAAGAGGGTGCCAGGCTGCACCAATGGCAAAAAATCCATCGGAAAACCAGGAAGAGGGGAGATCAGCCCAGATCCCATTGGAAGAGCCCATTAGAAAATGTTCCATTCTACGATCTGAAAGAGAAACAGAGTATTGAAGAGAAACCAGAGTATTAAAGAGAAACCAGAGTATTGAAGAGAAACCAGAGTATTGAAGAGAAACCAGAGTATTAAAGAGAAACCAGAGTATTGAAGAGAAACCAGAGTATTGAAGAGAAACCAGAGTATTGAAGAGAAACCAGAGTATTGAAGAGAAACCAGAGTATTGAAGAGAAACCAGAGTATTGAAGAGAAACCAGAGTATTGAAGAGAAACCAGAGTATTGAAGAGAACCAGAGTATTGAAGAGAAACCAGAGTATTGAAGAGAAACCAGAGTATTGAAGAGAAACCAGAGTATTGAAGAGAAACCAGAGTATTGAAGAGAAACCAGAGTATTGAAGAGAAACCAGAGTATTGAAGAGAAACCAGAGTATTGAAGAGAAACCAGAGTATTAAAGAGAAACCAGAGTATTGAAGAGAAACCAGAGTATTGAAGAGGAACCAGAGTAGAAACCAGAGGGAAAAACAAGATTAAACCTTGCAGTCACTTCTACTTGCTAGCGATTGAAGTCGTTTTGCCTTGGCCCCCGCAGACATGAATTCAAAGGAGGCAATGCTTTTGATGAGAGGCTGTTAGGAAAAGGCACCTTTCCCCCCACCCACCCCTTCAACATAACAGCCGCCTCCCCCTTCCCCTCTTTTGCTACTCTGCATTAGTTTTGCTAAATTGACATCTTTGATCAAAGAACAGACATTATCTAACTTTACTGCTGACTGGAAATCCCCTTATAGACTTTTGCATGAAACAAGGGGAAAAAATGAACTTTTGATACATGGTTTTGATGACGATGAAAAAAAACCGGATTTACAGAAAAAAAACCGAAAGTCATCCTGAAAGTAGAGCATATTTATATACTGTATAGTTTGTATAAACACGGTATTGTATTGTATTGTATATTCTATTGTATCCCATTCCAGGGGTCTCCAACTGTGGCAACTTTAAGCTGGCGGACTTCAACTCCCAGGCTTAAAGTTGCCAAGGTTGGAGACCCCTATTCTATTCTATTCTATTCTATTCTATTCTATTCTATCTATTCCATTCCATTCCATTCCATTCCATTCCATTCCATTCTCTATTCTATTCTATTCTATTCTATTCTATTCTATTTCTATTCCATTCCATTCCATTCCATTCCATTCCATTCCATTCCATTCTCTATTCTATTCTATTCTATTCTATTCTATTCTATTCTATTCTATTCTATTCCATCCATCCCATATTCCATTCCATTCCATTCTCTATTCTATTCTATTTATTCTATTCTATTCTATTCTATTCTATTCTATTTCTATTCTATTCCATTCCATCCCATTCCATTCTCTATTCTATTCTATTCTATTCTATTCTATTCTATTCTATTCCATTCCATTCCATTCCATTCCATTCCATCCCATCCCATCCATCCCATCCCATATTCTATTCTATTCTATTCTATTCTATTCTATTCTATTCTAGTCTAGTCTAGTCTAGTCTAGTCTATTCCATTCCATTCCATTCCATCCCATCCCATCCCATCCCATATTCTATTCTATTCTATTCTATTCTATTCTATTCTATTCTATTCTATTCTATTCTGTCCCATCCCATTCCATTCCATTCCATTCCATCCCATCCCATCCCATCCATATTCTATTCTATTCTATTCTATTCTATTCTATTCTATTCTATTCTATTCTATTCTACTCTATTCTATTCTGTCCCATCCCATATTCTATTCTATTCTATTCTATTCTTTCTATTCCATTCCATTCCATTCCAATCATCCCATCCCATCCCATCCCATCCCATATTCTATTCTATTCTATTCTATTCTATTCTATTCTATTCTGTCCCGTCCCATATTCTATTCTATTCTATTCTATTCTATTCTATTCCATTCTATTCCATTCCATTCCATTCCATTCCATTCCATTCCATTCCATCCCATCCCATCCCATATTCTATTCTATTCTATTCTATTCTATTCTATTCTATTCTGTCCCGTCCCATATTCTATTCTATTCTATTCTATTCTATTCTATTTATTCTATTCTATTCTATTCTATTCCATTCCATTCCATTCCATCCCATCCCATCCCTATTCTATTCTATTCTATTCTATTCTATTCTATTCTATTCTATTCTATTCTATTCTATTCTATTCTATTCTATTCTGTCCCATCCCATATTCTTTCTATTTATTCTATTCTATCTATTCTATTCATTCCATTCTATTCCATTCCATTCCATTCCATTCCATTCCATTCATTCCATTCCAATCCATCCCATCCCATCCCATATTCTATTCTATTCTATTCTATTCTATTCTATTCTATTCTATTCTATTCTGTCCCATCCCATATTCTATTCTATTCTATTCTATTCTATTCTATTCTATTCTATTTATTTCTATTCTATTCCATTCCATTCCATTCCATCCCATCCCATCCCATCCATCCCATATTCTATTCTATTCTATTCTATTCTATTTCTATTCTATTCTATTCTATTCTATTCTATTCTGTCCCGTCCCATATTCTATTCTATTCTATTCTATTCTATTCTATTCTATTCTATTCTATTCTATTCTATTCTATTCCATTCTATTCCATTCCATTCCATTCCATTCCATTCAATTCCATTCCATTCCATTCCATCCCATCCCATCCCATATTCTATTCTATTCTATTCTATTCTATTCTGTCCCGTCCATATTCTATTTTATTCTATTCTATTCTATTCTATTCTATTTATTAATTCCATTCCATTCCATTCCATTCCATTCCATCCCATCCCATCCCATATTCTATTCTATTCTATTCTATTCTATTCTATTCTATTCTATTCTATTCTATTCTATTCTGTCCCATCCCATATTCTATTCTATTCTATTCTATTCTATTCTATTCTATTCTATTCTATTCTATTCTATTCCATTCTATTCCATTCCATTCCATTCCATTCCATTCCATCCCATCCCATCCATCCCATCCCATATTCTATTCTATTCTATTCCATCCATCCCATCCCATATTCTATTCTATTCTATTCTATTCTATTCTATTCTATTCTATTCTGTCCCGTCCCATATTCTATTCTATTCTATTCTATTCTATTCTATGCTATGCTATGCTATGCTATGCTATGCTATGCTATGCTATGCTATGCTATGCTATGCTATCCTACCCTACACTTATAATTACTTGTAAAGAAAATCGGAAACGACTTCTTTCCATTTTCTCCCTTTCTTTTGTCTTTTTGGGCTTTGCTCTTCTCTTCTCTTTTTTGCTCTTAAGTCTTAGTTTCTGACCTTTTTAAAACCTTTTATTTTTCTTATTAAAACCTTAATAGTGTCATGTGGCGGGAAGGGAGGGGGGGGAGGCAAACTCAAAAAAGCCAGCCCAGGGCTCTCTCCGGCTGGCCACCTCCAGCCCCGGAGATCGGCGGCTGATCTATCGACCTCCCACCCAACCCCGCCCACTCCCACCCCACCCACCCCCACCTCCACCTACCTCCCACCTCCACCCCTTCTTTGACTTGCTCAAACGAGCAAAATCCGGCCGGGGGCTCTTCCCGCTTGGTCCAATTTCAAGTCCCCGATGACCCAGACGGCTTCGGCCGCGGTAAAACCGGGCAGAGGGGGGCGGCGCCTTTCCCCTTTCCCCGTGGCGGAATCCCTGCATCGCCGCCTGGGTGGGTGGGGGGGGGGGAGAAGGGGGAGGAACGTCTGAAAGGGGCTCTCCCCTCTTTCTTCCCCCCCCCTCCACATACACACACATACACCGTCTCCTCCATCAGACCCGGGGGCAGCATCGCCGGCTCCGCATCTCCAGTCGCGCTCTTGCCCCCCACCCACCCCCCCACAAACACACACACACACACACACACACACACCTCCCCACGCGCGCGCTCCGCCTCCCGGTTCCCCTCCTGCCTCCTCCTGGGCGTTCCGGGGCTGCAGGCAGAGCGGGCGGGGCCAGGCAGGCGAAGCGGGCGGGGAGGCAGGGAGGGGCCGGCCAGAGGCTGCAGCCGCAGCAGCGGGGAAGGCGATCGGCGGCGGCGGCGGCAGAGGCGGCGGCGGCGGCGGGGCCAGCTCCTCCTGTCACAGCCCAGCTGGAAGCAACAGCAGCAGCAGCAGCAGCAGCTCCAGGCTCTAGCGCAGCCCAGCCTTAGCCCAGCCCCGCCGGGAGCCGACTCCATTTGCTGCAGCTTCTTGGCTGGCCCGCTTAAGGAGGCGGCCGCCCGAGGGATCGAGCGATCCAGGGATCGAGGGGATCGAGCGATCAGGGGTCGAGGGGATCGAGCGATCCGGGGATCGAGGGATCGAGGGATCGAGCGATCCAGGGGATCGAGGGGGATCGAGCGATCCAGGTCGAGGGGATCGAGCGATCGCGCGCCCCACCCCCCCTTCCCAAGGGACCACCCAGCCCGAGCGAGAGCGAGAGCGGACCGGGGCATTAAAGGCATGGCTGGCTCGACGGGATGCGCCTCGGCTGGCTGGTGGGCTGCTGCTGCGGCGCGAGGGCTCCTCCTGGCGCCCCTGCTCTTGCTGCTGGGCTCTTTCCCGGACCCGGAGGCGCAGCTGCGGCTGCCAACACCCAGGTGAGCCCCCCCCCTCCCCCGGGGGCGGAGTGAGGTGGGGCGGAGGAGGTAGGAGGGCTCCTTGGGACCGCAGCGCGGCGCGTGGGGTGGGTGGTGGGTGGGTAGGTGGGGAAGAAAATGATCGGTGCGCAAAGGTGGGGCTGGGAGAAGGAGAAGGGGCTGCCCAAGGTCACGGCGGACCGGGCGAGAGATCTATCTGCCGGAGACCCTTCCCCAATTCTCGGCTCCTTCCAAGAGAAGGGCGAGAATGGAAGCGCTTGCCGGGAAATCCCAAGAGGGGAGGGGGGGAAATGGTGGGAGAGAGAGAGAGAGAGAGAGATGAGAGAGAGAGAGAAAGAGAGAGAATGAGAGAGAGAGACAGAGAGAAGAGAGAGGGAGGGAGAAAGAAAGAGAGAGAATGAGAGAGAGAGAGAATGAGAGAGAGAGAGACAGAGGGGGGGGGAGAAAGAAAGAGAGAGAATGAGAGAGAGAGAGAAAGAGAGAGAATGAGAGAGAGAGACAGAGAGAAGAGAGAGGGAGAGAGAGAGAGAATGAGAGAGAGAGAGAGACAGAGAGGGGGGGAGAAAGAAAGAGAGAGAATGAGAGAGAGAGACAGAGAGAAGAGAGAGGGAGGGAGAAAGAAAGAGAGAGAATGAGAGAGAGAGAGAATGAGAGAGAGAGAGACAGAGGAGAGGGGGGAGAAAGAAAGAGAGAGAATGAGAGAGAGAGAGAATGAGAGAGAGAGAGACAGAGAGAGGGGGGGAGAAAGAAAGAGAGAGAATGTGAGAGAGGGGGGGGAAAACGCACGTCTGCCTTCCATGCTCCGCTGCCCTGGGTGGGACTCACTCCACCTTCTATCATCCCCAGCTGTCGAATCCGGGAGGGCGCCCGGTTGGGGAAAGGCCACCCCTAGAAGCCCCTGGTCTGGCAAGGTTGGACCCTCCTGGCCGTGGGAAACGATTGCCTGAATCTTTGCCTTTTGACTTGCCTTGCCCAGCGGCACCCAAACCTTCAGGAAAAGCCCGCATTTGCTTTGTGTGATTTTCCTGCCCGTGGGTGAAGGAGATCCACTCTACCCATCCAACCAGATGTTTCAAAGTGAGGAAGTGATCTGGCACTGGCTGGTGCCCTGTCCTCATTCAAATCACTTCCTTCCTCCCCCTCACCCACCCAAGCCATTGCAAGACTGGGTGGCCGTGATTAACATTTAGGAGCCAATGGCCACTCTTTCATTTCATAAGCTGGTGGTGGCAGGTTTCCAAGTCACATCCGCTGGAGGCTTATTGCTACAAATGAGCCCCTTGGACTTACTGTTGGCTGGGTAGGCAGTTGCGAGGAAGCCCACAGTCTTTTGCAAATTCACAGTACCTACTTTTGCTTGACCTGAAAATTCTTGAATATACCAAACATCACTGCTGTTTGATGAGCTCTTTGCATTAATGTGATCACCAAGGAAAAGAGCCGAAAAGTGGCTAATGGAGGAAAATGGCCATTGTAGACCATTCTAACTTCCCAGAGGCTTCCCAGAGCAGGGGGTTGGACTAGAAGACCTCCAAGGTCCCTTCCAACTATTGTATTGTATTGTATTGTATTGTATTGTATTGTATTGTATTGTATTCTATTCTATTCTATTCTATTCTATTCTATTCTATTCTATTCTATCCTACCCTACCCTACCCTTCCCTACCCTACCTTACCCTTTACCCTACCCTACTCTATTCTATTCTATTCTATTCTATTCTATTCTATTCTATTCTATTCTATCCTACCCTACCCTACCCTTCCCTACCCTTCCCTACCCTACCCTACCCTACCTTACCCTACCTCCCTACCCTACCCTACCCTACCCTACCTACCCTACCCTATCTTATTCTATTCTATTCTATTCTATTCTATTCTATTCTATTCTATTCTATTCTATTCTATTCTATTCTATTCTATTCTATTCTCTGCTGACTGATGCAAAGCACAGGGATCATATGAGCATCTTCACGTAGGGCATAAGTGCGGGAAGCCAAGATTGGCCAAGATATTTTACACGGAGAATCATATTTGACCACCTTACTCTATCTCTGTCTGGGACTGGCCCTTTGCAAAAACGGATGTACTCGGCAAAGATGGCCAGAGACCCATAGCTTCCACAGGTCTTTGTAGAGAGGGAAGGAGATGCTGTCCTACTTGTAGGGGACAAATAGCCAGCAGATGGGTTTGAAGTAAGACTAGATGACCTCGAGCCACAGGATTGGTCTCAACTGTCCAACGGTCTAGTGGGTACTCTGCCCGATGTACCCAAATCCTGCCAAAATGTGCTCACCGCCTGCCACCCCTCATTGGGGAACAACCCAGAAAATCCTGGCTAGATGTTCTCAGGGAGGTAAATGGGTTCGTATTGGGTCTCCCGTAGTTTGTTCCTTCTGTGGCCTTATCAGCATTTGAACATACTGAAGCAGAATCCATTTGGAATCGTCAGTTAAGCGTATCTCATTTTAGCCCTTCTGCTCCAAAATCTGGAGACGGTCGTATACTTACACATATTACAGTTTTAATAAGAGGCAGTGGGCATCAGCGCTTTTCATCACAAATATTCCAGACTGCATGTGACATTGGTCGTAGTGCAGCCCCTTCTCCACCGCTTCCCCAAGCCCTGTGTGATAGGGCCAGCCAATCCTACCACCACCACCCTAGCCAGGGTCATTAAAAGGCCTCATTCAGAAATGTGGGGGGGGGGGCTTCAAGCAAGAATGATGGGAGCTGCCCGTCTTTCAAGGCTACCTCTCTTTAGAAATAGGATTCTTCTGGCCCCATGATATGAAGGCATCGTTCTCTCCCCATCAAAGGATATGATCAGATTCTGCACCGAAGGGTTAACTCCTTGGTTTTGTACGTTTGAATTTTATCGATGGGGAGAGGGGGTTTTTTTCCCCCTCCTCTTTAGTGAGGAAGGGGGCTTTGCTCTCTTGCAAAACTGTGTTGGCATCCTAGGGGATCTGGGGGAAACCTGGCTGTGGGGTGGAATTTCTCCTGCAAATTCCCTAGATGGGACGGTAGAAAATCTGGGGTTGAACAATAATGGAGTAGCAAACATGTTTCTTGAGCTAGGCGTAAGTGAGCCTTCCCCTCCCACTTCTTACGGCTCAGTGTTCTGGAACTAAATGCCGCTTCCTTTGTGGTTGGCAACACCTGCACAGTTCCTTTCAGCCGCACAAGAAGGCAGGTTGTCAGGGCATTCAGCGGATAGGAAAAGCCACGAGGTTAGGAAGCTTCTCAGTCTAGCCAGCCTATTGCACCTGGACTTGTTCTCAGGTATCCAAATGATGTGGTCCATTCCCAGGAGGCTGGTACCACTGGAGATCTGAATGGTTGGCAGGAAGGCAAGGAGGCAGGAAGAAAAGAAGGAAGAGGGAGGGAGGGAGGAAGGGAGGGAAGTAGAAAAGGAAGAAAGGAAAGGGGAAGGAAATGAAGGAAGGAAGGAAGGAAGGAAGGAAGGAAGGAAGGAAGGAAGAAGGAAGGAAAGGGGAAGGGAAGGGAGGGAAGGAAAGGAAGAAAAGGAAGGAAGGAGGAAGGAAAGAAAGGGGGAAGGGAAAGGGAGGAAGGTGGGAGGGAGCGAAGAAAGGAAGGGAGGGAGGGAGGAAAAGAGGAATGGAGGAAAAAGGAAGGGAGGGAGGCAGGAAAGGAAGAAAAGAAAGGGAGGGAGGAAGGGAGGAAGGAAAGGAAGAAAAAGAAGGGGAGAGGGAGGGAAAGGAAGGGAGGAAGGAAGGAAGAAGGAAGGAAGGAAGGAAGGAAGGAAGGAAGGAAGGAAGGAAGGAAGGAAGGAAGGAAGGAAGGGAAGAAAGGCAGTTTATGGGAAATGGCTGAAATACTCAGTGAAGAGGTTTGATGGATGGCCAGAAAATGCCTGTCTAGGGAGAAGTAGGCTGGAAGAGGGCATAGCTGAACAGAATCCTAAAGAAGAACATTTAATGGTAGCGCATTCTGCCTCTTCATCAGTGGTTCCAGAGGATGGGGGGGGAACCCTAAGACTAGGTTTATACACCACGATTAGCCCTAAGATGGTTTGCTTCCTTTTGGTGTACTACTGCATCACAGGAACTCCATCTTTGCTGTTTGAAAGGTATGCTTTCTAGGTTTCTGGGTTTCTGGGCTTCTGGGTTTCGTGGTCTGTGTGAACCCAGGCAGTTGCAGCTTGGTGAATGAAACTGTGCTTTGGGGGGAAGCTTAGCTGACCACGATGCGTGCGCCCTGTTTAGTGAAAGGGCCGCGTTTTGTGTGCATGGCTGGCTGAGAATGCAAGCACAGTGTCCAAAGACCACGCAATTCTTGTCATTCAGCCACATAATTCTTGTCATCTTTTTATTGGGTAGATCTCCAAGAGATTCCAACCAACCCAACCTTTTCCTCTTTGTAGGAGACAAAGTCAACCGAGGTGGCTCCTACACCCACAAATGCCGTCCTTACATGTCCCTGCTTGACTTTTACTAGTGTTTAGGATGCCTGCGACTTCACCTTCGTTTCCCTTAGGACAATGTTTCTCAACCTTGGAAGCTTGAAGATGGGTGGACTTCAACTCCCAGAATCCCCCAGCCAGCGCTGCTGGCTGGGGGATTCTGGGAGTTGAAGTCCACCCATCTTCAAGCTTCCAAGGTTGAGAAACACTGCCTTAGGAGGTTACAAACAACAGCTGAACCCTCATGCCCCTTCAATCCCTAAAAAAGAACGATAAAAGGCCCCCCAAATAAATGCCTGGATAGCTCAACAGACTAAAAGCCTGTTATTAACATTCAGCTGTCTGCAATTATTGCAAGTTCAAATCTCCCCAGGCTCAAGGTCGACTCAGCCTTCCATCCTTTCTAAGGTAGGTAAATTGAGGACCCAATTTGTGGGGGCAATAAGCTGACTTTGTATAAAATATACAAAAGTATGAAGGCTATTGCTTAACGCATTGTAAGCCGCCCTGAGTCTCCGGAGAAGGGCGGCATATAAATCTAATAAAAAAAAATTTAAAAAAATGCGATCACCATGATTTTTACCTTCATGATTGGAATATAGCTTGAAGAACTTTTAAAAGGCCAGGAGGAGAGGCCATTTCTAAGCGCAGCAGCAACAGGGTGAGTCTAGATGACCTTTAAAAGTCTCTGGGGGGAACTTTGAAGCATTTTCTAGCTGGAAGATGCTAACATTCCCCCTTATCTGGCTTAACAGAGTGGGGCGGGGGAATGTCTCTTCATTCTTATCCAAAAGGGGCCAGGCAGGGTCCTGCTACGTAGAAGTTTTCGAAGGGAGTGTCCACCTTGTGGTCACTTCACCCCCGCCCCGGCCTTCATCCCAGGCCATTTTCCATCCCAGCTTCCCCTAACTTCCAACTGAAAGGGAGGGGGAGCTCCCTTAAAGACCATAAACCCTGGGAAAGGTTGGGAAAATTCTCCCACCGCCAAAAAGGGACGTCAACATCCAACCGCAAGGAAGGACCGTCATTTCCCCCACCCTGCTCCTTCTGGGTGCCAAGGGACCAGCGACCTCCCTCGTCTTCCGCTCACCCCTTTCCAATTCTTCAGCCCCCCTCCCACCCCCCAAGGCCTATCTGTCTTCCTTTGATCTCACCCCCTGGCACGCCTGCCCTGCTGCTGGGTTGGCCAGAAGCCCAAGCTTCGCCATCTTGCCTGGTCATCTTGGAGCAGCAACACCTGGCCTACCATCGGTCGGAGAAGGGAAGAGAGAGGGATGGGAGAGCGAGAGAAAGCAGCTCCCAAAGTGGCACGTGGAGGGGCATGGGGGGGAGGGGGCCGAAGGATGAGAGAAGCCTTTTCAGAGGCTTTTTAATTCCTTTTGAAAGCTTCCCCTTCCTCCCACCTGCCCACCCACCCCTCAACCAACCCCCTTTGGAAGAGTGCACTTTGCCCTGTTGTAAAAGGCAAAGCCTTTGTAGTACAGTGGTCTAAGGCACCCTGTTATTAAGCTGGTTATTAATTTGTGGGGGCAATAAGCTGACTTTGTATAAAATATACAAAAGTATGAAGGCTATTGCTTAACGCATTGTAAGCCGCCCTGAGTCTCCGGAGAAGGGCGGCATATAAATCAAATTAAAAAAAAAAAAGAAGCAAGGTTGGGAGAAAGGTTGATCCTTCCTCCCTTTTCCAGCTCAGCTCACCAAATCCCAGGTTGGGAAGGAGGGGTGGGGGAAAGAAACAGAAGCAGGGATTAAAGCTCATTTATTAATCCTGTCTCCATTAACTACTTCCTACCTAAAGCCAAAAGGGACGCTCGGTGGCTAAGAAGCTGAGCTTATCGATCAGAAAGGTCGGCAGTTCGGCGGTTCGAATCCCTAGCGCCGCGTGACGGGGCGAGCTCCCGTTATTTGTCCCAGCTCCTGCCAACCTAGCAGTTCGAAAGCACGTTAAAAAAAATGCAAGTAGAAAAACAGGGACCACCTTTGGTGGGAAGGTAACAGCATTCCGTGCGCCTTTGGTGTTTAGTGATGCCGGCCACATGACCACGGAAACGTCTTCGGACAGCACTGGCTCTTCGGCTTTGAAACGGAGATGAGCACCGCCCCTTAGAGTCAGGAACGAATAGCACATATGTGCGAGGGGAACCTTTACCTTTAGCCAAGGCCAACTTCCACCTTCCTGCCATTCCCTGGGTGATTTTCAGAAGACAGTCAGGCAGACCCTCAATTGGAAATCCACTCCACTCCACTCTTTTCTCTTCTCTTTCTCTTTCCCTTTCTCTTCCTCCCTCCCTTCCCCAACCCTGCATTTGATGTAGAGTCCAGTGGTCAGCTTTCCATCAAACGGCAGCAGCTGCTTAATCACTTAAAGCATTGGCTTAGCCATGAGATCCACTTAATCCAGGCCTGATTTCTCCTTTGCCCCTCCGTTGTTAAAAAATAAAAAAAAAATAAAAACCTCCATTAGGTGGACCCCACCCTCTGTTCTCCTCCATCCTGCCCCTCCCCAGGAAAAAAAAATAGCCGGTTAGACTATTCTCTTGGAGCCTGGATGCAGCCCACCGATTCTCCCTTGTAATGCTTCCCCCCTCTCTTTTAAGGATGAGAAGCCGGGGAGGGATTTCCTGATTTTTAAACTAAATTGTCGCTTTCCAGAAAAGAGAAATGAATGTACTGGGTGGAATTCAGCTCAAAGGTGGGAGTGGCAGGGCAGGGAAAGAGAAATCGGCAAGCTACATCACTGCTTCTTTCTGGGTCATCAAAATCCCCTTTCCGTGTGGACCGACCGACCTCAAGCTTCTTCTCAATTCATTCTCAGAGCATCCATCCTTAAAAACAAAGCACCCCCCCCCAGCCCCTCATCCCCACCCCTGCATCTTCAAAGACTCTGCAATTCAGCCCACAGCCAGGATCTCTTTTACTGCATCCAAGTATTTTAATCCGAAGCTTTTTCTGATTTGGCTAGCTAGCTGGTGAGGCTGTGTGAATGGATGCTTGGGAGGTCCTTGTCAGGAACGGTCAAACTGGCACTCCTCACTAGCATTGAGGATGTTACCTAGTCAGGGTAATGAAACATCTGCAAGAAAACAAGCAAGCTCAGAAGGCACCAAGGAGCCCTCATTGTCAACCCAGAGTTACAAATGTTTTCCTTTATTGGAATGGAGCGGCTTGTTTCTTGCAGGATGCAGTTATGGAAGCAGCTTGGATGCCCAAGCTCAGAATCCTGTAAGAAGGTGGAGCAGATAGAACTGAGAAGACAAGGACCCCACGGGCTTCTGCTACCCCTGGATTTTGCACAACCCACGAGACTAGGCTAAATTAGGTTTCGATCGTCTGCCATAGCTTAGAATGCTACGTGCCTGGGAATCGCATGTTGTGGGAATGCATGCAGCCCCTTGCGTTTTGCCAAACTCAGGCACTGGATCAAAGGTCCAACCAAATCCAACCAAAATTGGCCTCCTTCTGAGAGGTAGTCCCCAACATCAGTATTGAGATGCTGCAAGCAGCTGTTGCTGGAGGGGCGAATAAGAGGAGGGGGGAGCCTTGCGGAAGAAGGTGCAGAAAAGAGGAAGAGGAAGGAAGGGGAGGGGAGGAAGAAAGAAGAAGGAGAGGAGGTGGAGAAGGAAGGGCCGGGCAAGTGGGGGTGGACCCTGTGAAGAGAAACAGCAGAGGGAAGGGGCTGGTGATGCAGTATTAATTTCCATCTGGGAGCTGGTCTCCATGGCAACAGAGAAGATCTGGCAACTCCATTGGGAGCGGTTACCACAGCAACAACATCCTGGTGGTTACTGGAGGAGGAGAAGCCAGAAAGAAAGACGGTGCAAACAAAGATGGGAGGGGTGGGAAAAGAGGCAGCCAGGAGCGAGGTGGAAAAAAATAAATAAGATAAAATAAAATAAAAGAGGGGAAGGGTGGAATTTGCTGAAGTGGAAGAGCCTTGCGTGACTGATGATGCCCTTTGGATGTCACCTTGGCTGTGGTCCTATCGCAGCCACGATGCATGACCAGCGCTTCCGCTTCGCACTTTGGCCAGATGTGTTGACTAATCTTTCTTTTCCCCCCCCCCAACTCTTTTTGTGCTTTCAGGGGATGGGAGCAGCCCTTGGGCCCACCTTGGGGACGCCCCAAGTGGCCACGTTTTGTGGAAAACTGGTCCTCCATCTCAACGTCCAGACAGGCCACTGGGAGCCTGATGCCATCGGTACTCGGACCTGCTTTCATAACACTGAGGAGATCAGGAGCTACTGCCAGGAGGTACACACACGGCATGTGTACACACAAACACACACAGAGAGCGTCATAAACATGTACATCTCCATCTTCCTCCCATCCTTCCAAAGCTCATTTAATCTAGTCCTCAAGTACAGGCAGTTCTTGACAATTCAGTTCAAAATTTCCGCTGCTAAGCAAAGGTAGTTGTTAAGTGAGTTTTGTCCCATTTTTACAACCTTCCTTGGCCCAGTTGTTAAGTAATCACATGCGGTTGTTAAGTTGGCATCATGGTGGTTCAGCGAATCTGCCTTTCTCCCCCCACCCCACCCCCCGATTGACTTTGCTTGTTGGAAGTCAGCAGGGAAGGTCGCAAATGATGATCCCATGACCCCCCCCAGGATACTGCAACTGTCATAAGTACACGCCAGTTGCCAAGCATCTGGAATTTTGATCACGTGACCTTAGGGATGCTGCAATGATCGTAAGTGTCATCATTCCAGAAAAAAACCCAACTCCAAGTAAAACTCTGAAGCAAGCATTTTCTCAAAGCTCCATTTATGAGAGTAGGTAAACTGAGACATCTGGGAAAACCCGATTCTGAGAGATCCAGCTTTTCCCTCAGTAAATCAAAACCCCCAAAATCATCCACTCATTCCTCAGTCAATCACATGCGCCAATCAACCGCCCTCCCATCTTGAGACAGCACTTCAACCACTCCTTCTCCAGATGCAGGATTGGAATAATGCTATTATGTCTACAGGCAACCCCTCTCCTAAATCCCCCCTCTTACTTTCCCACACATAAGAAGTTTGTTTTCCTGGCTATTTATGGTATTCTCAGGAATATGCTCCAGCACCAAAATTCAGAAGCATTGATACTCTTTCCATCCTGCTTCTTCAGAGTCCAATTTTTGCTTGCATAGACTAGACTAGAGTGTCAAAACTATTGCTTGCATGGCTCTGATCTTCGTAGATATATAGGCATCTCATAGTATTGAAGTACTTTTCCCAAGGACTTCCTTGTTAGGAAAAGGGGAGTCAGGAACACCAGGGTTATCATTCAGATCAGCAAGACGGAGTGTATCTTTACATCATCCTTTGAAGTGTCTCAAGGGAGAATGACCTCCTGCTTTTCTCCGCCCTCTATTGGCTGCCCTACTAATGGCCATTTGCCCTGCAGGTATATCCAGAGCTGCAGATCACAAATGCTGTGGAAGGTACACAGCCAGTTACTATAGACAAGTGGTGCAAGAAGGGACGCTCATCATGCAGAGGCCAGATGCACATTGTGGTACCCTACCAGTGTCTTGGTAAGCGCAAAGTCCAGCTGTCTGACCTGTGTGCATGTCCAGTTGGGGATGATAAGGACTGGCTTTAAAATTGGGAGTGAAATCATGTGTTGTTGCCATTTTCTGTTGCCTTGTGGGGGTGGGTTGTGCCTTTGAAAGCACCAGCTTGAAGGCAAGGAATGTCTTGGTACTGATAATTGCAAGCCCCACCTTTCTCTCCCTCCGGAGCCTTTTGGCAGATTAGATTAAAAGTGTGTAGTGTAGGCCAGTATTCCTCACCCTCAGCAGATTTAGGATGGATGGACTTCAGCTCCCAGAATTCCCCAGCCAGCATGCTAAAGTTGAAGCCCACCCATCCCTAAGGCTGCTGAGGGTGAGAAACACTGGTGTTGACGCACGCTACAGTATTATATGCACTTAACTCTAATTCAGTGGAAGTGGAAGTTATATGCACTTAATTCAGTGGGACTTTTATTTTTGAGCAGAAATGAAGAAGCTGCTATTGGTGCAGAAATTGATTGTGGACAAGGCTTCCGTGTCTTTCTTTTCCAGGAAAAAGTGCTGTGGTAGCACTTTTCCCCCCCCTAAATGCTTATTGCATTATAATTAGCAAAATAAGCAACTTGAAATCCTTGAATAGTTTAGAGTCTCAGTAGAGGGTGGGGGCACAGCAGAATGACCAGTGACAAGGAATTAGGAGTTGCAATCCAAACTTTGGTGTAGAAGACCCCCAATTGTCTATCTCTGTCATTAATATTATCTTGCAATTCTTGGAGTTTTCCAAACTTGGGTTGCAGATAATTCTTTAGCTTATAAATTTCCCAGGCAGAGGTTTTAGAGAAGTGAGGCCTATTGCATTCATTTTCCAGACAGAAGTTTTAGAGAAGTGGAGCCTATTGCTATAGATATTTTGGTCTTGCCTGCTTTGCACATGGTGGGCACGTCATGGCTCAGTGGCTAAGACGCTGAGTTTGTCGATTGAAAGTTCGGCAGTTCAGCGGTTCGAATCCCTAGTGCCACATAACGGGGTGAGCTCCCGTTACTTGTCCCAGCTTCTGCCAACCTAGCAATTTGAAAGCACGTAAAAAATGCAAGTAGAAGAATAGGGACCACCTTTGGCGGGAAGGTAACAGCATTCCATGTGCCTTTGGTGTTTAGTCATGCCGGCCACATGACCACGGAGATGTCTTTGGACAGCGCTGGCTCTTCTGCTTTGAAACGGAGATGAGCACTGCCCTCTAGAGCCAGGAACAACTAGCATACATGTGCGGGGGAACCTTTACCTTTACCTTTACCTTACTTTGCACATGCTTTGACAGGAATCTTGTCTTTTGTCAAATTAAACTTTTATCCATTCCAATGAACCTTTGGCAAATTAATACCTTCCATGCTTGCCAGATGTCAGATCCCATAATTCAGGGCCATTTTGACTGGGTATTATGGTATTATAGTCATGATCAGACCAAATCTAATCTGCCTCAAGGCAAATTTGGGGGCAAACCTTCATGCCTTCAAAGCTGGTGTTAAGCTACTCTTCTCTCTGGGAAGAATCAGAGTGATAAAGTAGAGGAACCTGCAGCTCTCCTAATCTTAAAAACGATTGGATCCTAGCTCCCATCATTGCTAGTTAGCATGGTCAAGGATGCTGAGAGTTGTTGTAATCAATAAAAATCTGGAGAATCCCAACTTTCAGATCCTGTGTTAGTAACGCAAAAGATGGAAGAACAGAGAAATCATTGCAATCTTAGCAATTGTAGCCTCTCCTGCCAGACATAGCTACAATAAATACCTCGCCATTGCTCCTTGATAGCACAGAGTAATAAACCCTTGACACCAGTGCCTCCTTGCTTTTTCTCTTCCCCCAGTGGGTGAGTTTGTGAGCGAAGCACTTCTTGTACCAGACAAGTGCAAATTCCTGCACCAAGAGAAAATGGACTCCTGTGAGACCTACTTGTATTGGCATAGTGTGGCTAAAGAGGTGAGTAACTGTGGGCTTCTTATCAAGTGCATTCCAGCATTTCTACTTGAACCCACAGAAGTTAAAAGGGCTGGCAAGAAATCTGAAGAGATAAGGAGGTTTTTATCAAGATCATTCTGAATTGTTGAGCCCTTCTTTCAAGCATGGGTTGATAAGGGGTTGCTTCGTTGTTAAAGACTCTAGGAAGACGTCACCGTGAGATAAGCAAGTTTGATGATTATGCCACAGTCTAGGATAGTGATGGCTAACCTTTTTCGCCCTCCCCAGACTCCTAGAAAGGCTCTGGAGCCTAGTGAGAGAGAAAAACAGGCCTACTAGGCCATTGCGTGCCAGGAGCAGGGGAAGTGTGGGGGGGGCATAGAATTATGGGTGTGGGCACGCGTGCGCACGGCACCTCCCCCCCTGCTCCTGGCATGCAATGGCAAAAAGGTTAGCCATCACTATCCTATGCTGTTCTTCCCCTATACTAGAGGAATATGTGAGGTATTCCATGCAGTGGAAAAAAATAAATGTCTTCACGTCACCAAATGCTTATAGAATGCTGGATTACTGTGATGCAAGCTTTCTAAATTTGACTTGCTCTTTTTTTTTTTTTTTTAAATGTAGAACACATCCAAGTTGAGCTGGTTGCATTCTGACATAGAGCTTAAACTTATGCTTGGCGCTGTGACTGTACCAGTTCACAGTGTCGATGTGTTAATGTGCACAACTCCATATTCAGTGTAGACAAACTCAAACAAAAGGCCAATTTGGATTATCACACATAACTTCATTATTGATTGATTGATTGATTGATTCGATTTATATGCTGCCCTTCCCCGGAGACTCAGGGCGGCTTACAATGCGTTAAACAATAGCCTTCATACCTTTGTATATACCTGCTTAGTAGGGCTTTGGCCCCCCCCGCCCAGCAGTGTTCTTTTTTATACAAAGTCAGCTTATTGCCCCCACAATCCGGGTCCTCATTTTACCTACCTCGGAAGGATGGAAGGCTGAGTCAACCTTAAGCCTGGTGAGATTTGAACTTGCAGCAATTGCAGGCAGCTGGTGCTATTTAACAGCACTTTAGTCTGCTGCGCCACCATAGTTATGAAGCCAAGGTGAACTTCATGAAGATTATTCGCTCGCGCACGCACGCACTCTTCTGCGCAAGCACAGAAGCTTCTACGCGTGCGCAGAAGCGTTTTCATGACATCAGGGTCAGTGGGCGGAGCCTTCCGCTGGTTTTACTACCGGTTCTATAGAACCAGTGCAAACCGGGGGCAACCCACCACTGCATGGCACTCTAGGAAAGTTTATCTTGTCGTGTCAACCAGTCTCTGGGTGTTGCATTGCAGCATTTTAACCTTGTTCCTATCCACCTTTCAGGCCTGCAGTGGTGAACATCTTGAGCTACACAGCTACGGCATGCTACTGCCTTGTGGAGCTGACCGTTTCCGAGGTGTAGAGTATGTGTGCTGCCCCTCACGCCCACCAGCCATCAGGGTGGAGCAAACTACGGAGGGTCCCCCAGTGGTTGCCCATTTAAGGGAGGAAGCCCTGCGCAGGTGAGCCGATGAGTTTGAGCAGATCCAGCTGCATAGGAAGGTGGTTAAGATTACATTGAGACCAAATTTTAGCCCTTGCAAAGCTTATTTAATCTAGAATGTTCCTGGAACTGGATCTTAAAGGGGAGATCTGCAAGGAAATGTTTAGATATATGTGTGTGTGTGTGTGTATGTACCTATGCATATACAATTTATCATTTTACTAGTAGGGTTGCCAGGTCTGCTTCCAAAAAATAGCGGACAAGGGGGGGGGGGTTTAAGTAGTAAAAAAATAAAAAAAAAATTTACAATTAAATTATATATTTTCTTACAAACATTTTAACACGTATTAAAATAATCACATTCAAAACTTTACTTAAAATTCAAAACATCAAATATATTATAATAATATGTAAAATATTAAATTACATTTTACTTTGTTGTATTTTTTATTTGACTGTGCAGCTTTGATCAATTCTTTGTGTTTAAGGAATAATTCTTTAATTTCAGTACAACGTTGAGAAATATTAAAAAATATACAATCATAAAGCTTTTGAATAAAAAAAATGTCCACTATTTTGTGGGGAAAAAAATAGTGAACATAATGTGAAAAATGCGGACTGTCCGCTCAAATAGTGGACACCTGGCAATCTTATTTATTAGTGTGACAGCCTCACGAACAGGAGGCTGTGAGTTCGATCCTAGGTAGCGAGAGATATTTCTCTCTCTGGGCACAATGAGTAATTATCTGCTGCGAACTCTGCATTGGCGTCAGGAAGGGCATCCGGCCAGTAAATACTCAGCTCCATTCAGTTGCCCTGACTCCACCCCAATGTAAGGGATTACATTACGGGGTCATTAAAAGACCAAAAAACAAAACAAAAACAAATAGCGCAAAATTGAAGACACTGCTCCTACAGGATTATATAGTTGAATAAGAATATTTTCCTTTTCCCATGGGGAAAAGTCTCCCTAGTCCCTTTCCCCTGCTCCTCAAATGCTTCTTCTTGCTTGATGGACTTGTTTGCGATCTTAACTGGATGGATCTTTTCTTCAGCAACAAAGTACCAACAGGGCGTATTCCCACAGAGGAAGAAAGCTTGGAATTGGAGGAAGACAGGAATGTGGATGAAGAAGAGGAAGAGGAGGTGGAGGAGGAGGAGGAGGAAGAGGAGGAGGAGGAAGAGGAAGAAGAGGAAGAGATTCCTGGAGAGAGTGCTCCTGACTCTAACCGTTTCCGTACTGCCTGGGATGACTATTATGTGGAACCAGGGTACTATGATGACAGCATCACTCAAACCACTATCACCACTACAACTCAGACCACAGAAGAAGATGTCAAAGGTAAGCAGTGGAGGGAAAGACCCAGGGGTGAAATCCAGTAGGTTCTGACAGGTTCTGCAGAACCGGTAGCGGAAATTTTGAGTAGTTCGGAGAACCGGCAAATACCACCTCTGGCTGGCTCCAGAGTGGGGAGGGAATGGGGATTTTGCAGTATCCTTCCCCTGGAGTGGGATGGGAATGGGGATTTTGCAGTATCCTTCCCCCAGGAGTGGGGTGGGAATGGGGATTTTGCAGTATCCTTCCCCCAGGAGTGAGGAGGGAATGGGGATTTTGCAGTATCCTTCCCCTGGAGTGGGATGGGAATGAGGATTTTGCAGTATCCTGTCCCTGGAGTGGGGTAGGAATGGAGTTTATGCAGTATCCTTCCCCCTGGATAGGGCTGGGAATGGGGATTTTGCAGTATCCTTCCCCTGGAGTGGGGAGGGAATGGGGATTTTGCAGTATCCTTCCCTTGCCACGCCCATCAAGCCACGCCCACAGAACCGGTAGTAAAAAAGATTGAATTCCACCACTGGAAAGACCCATCTTAAGAGTCAACCTCATAGAGCACCTTCCAAGGTCCACGTTCTTTCTTGCTCTTCCTTACCATCTCAACCTCCCAAGGGAGAGACCATATCAATACAGAGAGAGAAGGGCAGCCTCTCATTGCTTCTCTGGATGACCACACGGTTAGATTAAATGTGTAAACAGGGGAAACATCATTTTCTAAAACCTTTTTGGCCTCCTGAGAGCCGCAGAGGGTGTTGCTGGTGATTTCATGATGTCCACAGAGGTTAAAAAAAAAAAAAAAGTTTGGCCTTTGAGGTTGTTTTGATGGATTTGAGGTTCAGTTATCCTCAAATGTCTCTAAGCTAAAAAAACCTGGATGCTCTGGGACTTCAAAAGAGGCCCGGAGGGGGCAGAGTATCTGAAGGCCATAGGCCAGAGGTGTCAAACTCAAGGGCCAAGGGCCGAATCCGGCCTGCGGATGCTTAGATCTGGCCCACAGGTCTGCCCTGGGAACAGTGAAGGACTGGCCCACTGTGCCTCTACCAGCAAAAGCGGACCTTGGGACAGCCACATGCTGCCCTCCCGAGCTCCATTTTCGCTGTCAGGATGCTCGAGCCCAACACGAGTGATGTCGAGCTGGCCACGCCCACTCCAGCCCCCCTTCCAAGGTCAAACACAACCCTGATGCGGCCCTCAATGAAATCGACTTTGACACCCCTGCTGTGGTGGGTTGCCCCCGGTTCGGACCGGTTCGCAAGAACTGGTAGTAAAACTGGTGGGAGGCTCCGCCCACTGACCCGGACGTCATCATAGGTGATCTGCGCGCACGCAGAAGAGCGCACGCGGGCGCGATGCGAACCGGTAGTAAAGGTAAGTAGAAACCCCCCCTGCACCCCTGCCATAGGCAATGGTTAGAAATCTGTGGGTTACAAGTAGTCCTTGATTTACAACCATTTATTTAGTGACCATTTGAAGTTACAACGGCACTGAAAAAAGGGATTTATGACCATTTTTCACGCTTGTGACCATGGCAGCATCCCCCGGGTCACGTGGTGAAAATTCAGATGTTGAGGACCGCTATGTACAGCATTCATGATAGTTGTAGTGTCCCAGGATCATGAGATCACCTTCTGTGACTTTCTGACAACCAAAGTTAATGGGGCAGCAACAGTCCTGTTGCTAACTTAACAACTGTGGTGATTCACTTAACAGCTGTGGCAAGAAATCTCATAACATGGGGCAAAAGTCACTTAACTGTCTTGCTTAGCGACAGAAATTTCGGGCTCACGTGTAGTTGTAAGTAGAGGACTACCTGGGCATCTAGAACAGGGGTGTCAAACTCGATTTCATTGAGGGCCTCCTCAGGGTTGTGTTTGACCTCGGGGGGAAGGGGGCATGGGCAATGGGCATGGCCAGCATGAGATCACTTGTGTCAGGGGGGCGCGTGTGATGGCCCAAGCGAAAACGGGTTCCCGAGCTCCGTTTTCAGCTGGGACAGCCTCCTGCAACCCTCTGCCAGCGAAAACAGAGCTCGGGGGGGACCATGCATGGTCCTCGTGAGCTCCATTTTTGGCTGGGATGGCCTCCTGCCAGCAAAAACAGAGCTCAGGAGGGTCTCACTCAACCCTTGTGAGTTCCGTTTTCGCTGGCAGAGGCACTGCGGGCCAGTCCTTCGCTATTTCCAGGGCGGCCCCGCGGGCCAGATCTAAACACTCCGTGGGCCGGATATGGCCCCCGGGCCTTGAGTTTGACTCCCCTGATCTAGAAGAAGAAAAAAGACCACCGTAGGAAGACCGTTAATGGTGAGAGAAGACCTTTGGCATTTTTTTCTCAAGGCTTTCTCAGAACTTTGAGCCAATGGCAGCCATGGTAAAAATCATTGTTGAAGGACAGGTCAAGAGAGAGAGAGAGGACTAGAGATCCTGCAAAATAGGGACCTCTGGGGCATGGAAAGTAGAGAGGCAAGATGCCAGCTATTACTAGGTTGAGAAAGAAGGAAATGCTCAGCTATTCAGCTGCTTCTCTGAGTGCCCATCACCTCCTCCTCTTCACAATGGGAAGTCTGTTTTTGGAGACAGCGCTGAACCTGGCTCTCCCTGACACTAAGGGGTAGATGATGCTTAGAATCAAAGCCTCCTTCGGAGGGGGAAACGAAGGGGCTCGCGTGCTTCCTTCCGTCCTGAGCCAAATCACTGCGGGATGCTGTGCCCAAATAGATCTGCACGCCTGGATGGTTTTAAATATCCAAGATAGGTGACTTCTGCAGGGTCAGGCATATTTTAACAGAGGAAGCGATTGCGTGCGCTTTGGAATGCAAATCCATCGATGTCAGGCCGCTGCAGAAATTGGGACCCACTGAGGAGAGTAATTGAATCTTAATTATATTCCAGGAAGAGCAGGGATTGAATTGCAGCTGAATTTCTGAGCGAGTGAGAATCCTGTCGTAATTACACTGAGCCAGATCTCAAACCTTTCGCTAACTCGTGCAGTGCCGCCCTCTCTCAAGGAGGAATTGGATTGTCTCTTATACCTAGTCCTCATCATGTCCGTCAATAATGGATGAGTGTTTACATTCTCGGCATTCCTAGGCTTCCCTTTTTAGATAAGTCCACTGTTTTTAGGCTGGATTCACCCACTAACTGAGGCCTGGTATATAGCAATAGCACTTAGACTTATTTACTGCTTCATAATGCTTTATAACAGGGGTCCCCAACCCCCGCTTCTCATTCCCATCCATGGACTGGCACTGAAAACCAGGCCACGCACACAAGCCCCATCCTCAGGATGCAGGCCAGTAGTGGGTTTTACTTACCTTTGCTACCGGTTCGCTATTGGGAGCACGAGCCTCCCGCCACCGCCGCTACCAGTTCGCCAAAACCGGGGCGAACCGGTAGCAACCCACCACTGATGCAGGTAGCATGCAAAACCACACCCCTCCTGTCTGTGGAAAAGTCTCTCTCCACGGAACCAGTCCCTGGTGCCCAATCTTTTGGGCACCCCTGCTTTACAGTCCTCTCTAAGCGGTTTACAGAGTCAGCATATTGCCCGCAACAATCTGGGTTCTCATTTTGCTGACCTTGGAAGGACGGAAGGCTGAGTCAATGCTGAGCCAGTGAGAATCGAACCGCTGGCAGTCGGCAGAATTAGCCTGCAATACTGCATTCTAACCACTGCACCGTCACGGCTCTTATGTAATCCTTCCCATTTGCCATGCAGCCTGGAACCAAAAGTTGTTATTGTCCAAAACATTTCAAAGGCAACAGCTTATGTTATCTCTGCTTTAAGACCGATAAGAATAAGCCTGGTCTTGTGTAACATGATTGCTGTCTATACAGTGACTCCAACCCCTCGCCCAACGGACGGGGTGGATGTTTATTTTGAGATGCCTGGAGATGGGAATGAACACGCCAACTTCCTGCGAGCCAAGATGGACCTGGAGGAGCGGCGCATGAAACAGATCAATGAGGTAATGGCTGGACAGACAGGAAGGAGGATTTGCTCAGCTTGCAGATATGGAAGCTTTCATTGTATGGTTAAGTTTGGTGACTTCAGACACACCCATCAAAGGATTTCTCTTGACAGATTGCACTCCTACAATGATGGGGACGATCTACGGTAATTCCATTAGAAATGATGGCTGTGCAATATAAACCATACAGATTTGTAGGAGCCATGTCTAAGTCAGTCTTTCTTTCTTTCTTTCTTTCTTTCTTTCTTTCTTTCTTTCTTTCTTTCTTTCTCCTTCCTTCCTTCCTCCCTCATTTCCTTTCCTCCATCCCTCCCTTCCTTTTCTTTCCTTCCTTTTCCTTCCTCCCTCCCTCCCTCTCTTATCTTATCTTCTTTCCTTCCTTCCTTCCTTCTTCCTCCCATTTCCTTCTTTCCTCCCTCTCCCTCCTTCATTTTCTTTCTTCTTTCTTTCTTTCTTCTTCCTTCCTTCCTCCCTCATTTCCTTTCCTCCATCCCTTCCTTTTCTTTCCTTCCTTTTCCTTCCTTCCTCCCTCCCTTCTTTCCTTTTCCTTCTTTCCTTCCTCCCGCCTTCCGTTTCTTTCTTTCCTCACTCTCTCCCTCTCTCCTTCCTTCATTTTCTTTCTTCTTTCTTTCTTTCTTCCTCCTTCCTTCCTTGTTTCCTTTCCTCCATCCCTTCCTTCCTTTTCTTTCCTTCCTTTTCCTCTCTCCCTCCCCCTTATCTTCCCTTCTTTCCTCCCTCTCTCCCTCCCTCCCTTCATTTTCTTTCTTTCTTTCTTTCTTTCTTTTCTCTCTCTCTCTCTCTCTCTCTCTCTCTCTTTCTTACTTTTCTGTTGCTTCTTAAAGAATTATTTCATGGGGAAATAGTACACATTTTGCAGATCAGATTATTTTTTTTAACTTCAAGTTTGTATCAGAAGAGACCATGTTGAGCCACTATTATAAGTTAACAGTGTCAGCAGTGAAGTTGTTGGTTTTCTTTTCTCTGGAGGTTTTTAAGAAGGGAGTGGATGGTGGCCTCCCAAGATTGGTTTATTTGGTTTTCCTGAACATCATAGAGAGTTGGACAAATGATCAACTCCACAGTTCTGTAAGTCCATGACTCAGGAAAACAGCTTCCTGTTCCTTGCGCAGGCAGATCGTTCTCTCTAGCTTTGAGAGACTGGGAGTCAGGATCTGATGGCTTAGTAAAGTTGGATCACCATGCAGACTGGTAATCAACTTGCAGCAAGGAGAAGACCATGTTCAATGTCCCAAAGGTGCTTTTTTTCAAGAGGCAATTGGACTTTCCGGCTTTTCTTTGGAAGACGTTTGGCTTCTCATCCAAGAAGCTTCTTCAGTTCTGACTGGATGGCGGGAGCTGAAGAAGCTCCTTGGATGAGAAGTGAAATGTCTTCAAAAGAAAAACCAGAAAGTCCAGTTGCCTCTTGAAAAAAGCACCTTTGGGACAACCATGACCTGGTTTAGAGACCATTGCTCGATGGCAGAGGGATGGAAGGATAGTCAGTACAACCATCAGAACTGATGAAGCTTCTTGGATGAGAAGCGAAACGTTTTCCTCCTCTTCCTGAAGGAAGAAAAGCACCTTTGAGACAACTATGACCTGGATGATTGAGAATCTCCACAGACAACAGAAACTGCTTTTCCAGAACCAGTTTCTACAGCAGAAAACCTTTGTATTGATCACATCACTGTCCTTTTGTTATGATTTCACAGGTGATGAAGGAATGGGCTGAAGCTGACAACGAAGCCAAAAACTTGCCTAAAACAGACCGACAAGCCTTGAACGAGGTGAGGTTGGCCAACCATCTCATTGAAACGCCCCTCCCTTTGTATTTTAATGTTTGTTTGGGGAATTTAATAAAGATATTTTTAAAAAATAAATCCATCTCAAGATTAGGTGAACTAGTAGATTAGCCAGGAGATCCCAAACTTGTGGGTTTCTTGACCCAGGGCGATACCTTTGTCCTTTCCACTCAGGTGTTGGAATTAACTTTCCATTTCCATGGCTGCCATTTCGGGTTCTGTGCGGTTTACAAATTCAAGTTAGTTTCAGGAAATTGTTTTAAACGGTTTAGCTGAGCTGGAATTACAAGGCTCCTCTGTGTTCTCGATCTGTTGTTTGATTCTATTCTGTGTTTATAATAGTTGCATTCTTTTTTGTTTTTTTTAATTGGAAAACAACTTGAATGGATTCCTACTCTGAGAGAAAGCCCAAACATGTTTTTAACCAAAAACAAAACAAAAGTTGAATCAACCCCCATGGCCTTGTATCTGTTTCTTTTGGCCTGTCTGTGTGCAGATGTTATAGCTTGTTTTTAGTGCACATTCATTGATAGCTGCCAGTTTCCAAACATTGATTTTTTTAAAAAAAGAAGAGTAATTTGTAATAAATCTCCAAATATCGGGGACTAACTTCCCTTATAGAGATTTGTCTCGCAACCCCCCCCCTGATGATTTTTTGGGTTCTCTCCTTAAAAACCTTAAACTTAGGTGTCTTAAAAAGCTGAGATGCTTATGTTGCTCTTGTAAAATTTTTAGACTCTACCATTTTTCATACAGTAGAGTTGTTAAAATGTGTGCCAATCGTTTAATTATCTTTTTGTCAAAATATTTTAAGCCATCCTGGGTTTTTTATTTGACAGCCAGGGTATAAACTCTCGAAACACTTTTAAGTAATTAATTAAACATCTGCTTCTAGGAGAATAAGCTCTGCATGGAACGCTTTGTTGTGTTTGGGTTTCATTGTCTCTATAGGTGGTTAGAGTAATTTTAAGCTATTAATGCTAATTTTATTGGGTTTCAAGGAATTTGATGTTGCCGCTTTGCTGTTGAGCTACCTTGAGCCTTCGGGAGAAAAAAAGGGAGTCTGCATATGTTTGCACGTGTGTTTAGGAATATAATTTTATATTTTGCTGTAATAAAACTTCCAGGGTCTTTCACCCAAGGTTTTTGCCAGGTCCATGTTCACTTACCTTTTAATGGTACAGTATTAGTGCATCAAAATCATGTGAAGTATTAGTACCGCTTTATAATGCCTTGGTAAGGCCACACTTAGAATACTGCGTTCAGTTTTGGTCACCACACTATAGAAAAGATGTTGAGATGCTGGAAAGAGTGCAGAGAAGAGCAACAAAGATGATTAGGGGGCTTCTAAAATATATGAAGAATAGCTGTAGGAATTGAATATATCTACTCTAGTGAAAACAAGGACTAGGGGTGATATGATAGCGGTGTTCCAATATCTCAGGGGCTGCCACAAAGAAGAGGGAGTCAAGCTATTCTCTAAAGCAACTGAGGGCAGGACAAGAAGCAATGGATGGAAACTAATCAAGGAGAGAAGCAACCTAGAACTAAGGAGAAATTTCCTGACAGTGAGAACGACTCACTTCCAGAAGTTGTGGCTGCTCCAACACTGGAGGCTTTTAAGAAGAGACCAGAGAGCCATTTGTCTGAAATGATAGGGTCGCCTGCTTGAGCTGGGAGTTGGACTAGAAGACCTCCAAGGTCCCTCCTAACTCTTATTCTGAAATATCCTGAATGGCTTCTCTCTTCTTCTTGCTTTCTAGCACTTCCAATCTGTCCTCCAGACACTGGAAGAGCAGGTGGCCGGAGAGCGCCAGCGGCTGGTGGAGACCCACCTGGCCCGTGTAGTAGCACTGCTGAATGATAACCGTCGTGCAGCACTGGAGAACTACTTGACTGCTGTTCAGAACGACCATGCCCAGGTAATTCAAAAGGGTAGAGGAAGGCAAATGTTAGCTTGGAGAATGGTATGTGAGATTTGTACATAAGCTGAGCTGGGAGAACGAGAAGCAGACTCTGCATGTGGATTGCAAACGAAGTTGACCGTGAGCTTGGGATAGCACCAGCGCTGGGCTTCAAAAATTTTAGCAAGGGGTTCTCTGCCTGGTTGCTGGGATTCAAAATTTTTTACTACCGGTGCTGTGGGCGTGGCTTGTTGGGCATGGCATGGCTTGGTGGGTGTGGCAGGGAAAGGATACTGTAAAATCTCCATTCCCACCCCACTCCAGGGGAAGGATACTGTAAAATCTCCATTCCCTCCCCACTCCAGGAGAAAGTTACTGCAAAATCCCCATTTCCTCCCGATCAGCTGGGACTCGGGAGGCAGAGAATAGATGGGGGCGGGGCCAGTCAGAGGTGGCATTTACCACTTCTCCGAACTACTCAAAATTTTCACTACCGGTTCTCCAGAACTGGTCAGAACCTGCTGAATAGCACCTCTGGTTTCCTTATATGAGCAACTTTCCAAAGTCTCTTGCTTTCCCAGTATGCTATACTCCAGCTCCTGAAATCCTCAGCCAGAATAGCCACAGGCCATATCTAGATGAGGATTTAGGTCATCCAGCACATCTGGAAAGCAGCGCTGAAGAACGCTGATGCAGACAAGGTAACTGCAGAATGGCAAGTGGGGAGCTTCATTTACTCCTCCGCCCCAACCCCCCATTCTATGTATTGGCTTCCTGCTAAAATCCCAGAAGTCACATCTAGGCAATGACATCCAGAAATAAAACAGAGTTCGGTTCCTCCCACTTCTTCTGTGCTTTGTTCCTAACTCTAAAATTGGGGGGGGGGGTTTGTAGGATAATGGGGTTGGTTTTTTTTTTCAACTGCTCTGCCAAAAAAAATTTGTCTGCGTTTTTTCTTTCCTTTTCTCACTCAGTTTGATTTCTTTTTTTCAAAGAATTTCTCGGTTGAAATTCTCGTGGGTAAAATACAGTTTTCTTGTCCTCTCTGAGTCTGGTTTTTTTCTTGCAGACGGTTCATTACCCAAAATAGGTAACGTCATCCATGCTAGTTCTGATGATGTTGCCTAGATTGGGTAATGAGTTTTCTGTAAAAAAACAACCAAGATATGAGAGCACCAAGGACCTCTCATTTCAACACTGAGATACAGATATTCTCCTTTATTAATTTTATTTAAAATTATGAACATTAATTTTATTAATATTTATTAAATATTAATTTATTAGTTTAAATATTAATTTTCTTGTCCTTGTTAGTGGGATGGACACATCCCACTGAGCCACGGTGGCGCAGTGGTTAGAATGCAGTACTGCAGGCTACTTCTGCTGAGTGCCGGCTGCCTGCAATTTGGCAGTTTAAATCTCACCAGGCTCAAGGTTGACTCAGCCTTCCATCCTTCCGAGATGGGTAAAATGAGGACCCAGATTGTTGGGGGCAATAGGGCGATTCTGTAAACGGCTTAGAGAGGGCTATAAAGCACTGTGAAGCGGTATATAAGTCTAAATGCTATTACTACTGCTATCTTTCCTAATAATATAGTATGCCAAAATGGGGATCTTAGCATGTTAAGTATGCCAAGGTCCATATGGAAAGCACTCACAATTTTTATTTTTCTTGTGGCCCCTGTAAACATCTGTAAACATCATGCAAAGTCAGGTCTCCCATCACTTTTGTTCAGCTCCTGATGGCCACGTAGATGTCCATGATCCATGTTGTCTCCAGGATGGCAATACCACAGAGAGTTACCACTGCCTTACCTTCCCACTCTTTTCAGCTTTCTAATCTAGTGCACAGCCCTTCCAAGTCTCATTCTGTTTAGCTTTGGTTGGATTTTGGTTGTGCTTCCACCTGTACTTATCTGTGCTGGAAGTGAAGGAAACCAAGAGAGGCAAGTAAGAGGATCCCATCTGCTCAAAGGCCAACTATTGAGAATCGGGCAAGGAACAAATCAGCCAAGATTCAACTAATTTATGTCACACTCCTCTTTTGACACAGCCTGACCGCATCCTGGCAGCTCTGAAGAGATACGTACGGGCCGAACAGAAAGATCAGCGCCACACTCTCCGCCATTACCAGCACGTGGCAGCGGCTGATCCTGAAAAGGCTGAACAAATGAAGTTCCAGGTATGGTTTTCTTCTGCCTATTGCCGCCATCTTGCGTCTTTGCAATTACTGTAGAACAATGTTTCATGCTGGCTGTGGAATTCTGGGAGTTGAAGTCCACACATCTTCAAATGGGCAATGCTGAGAAGCACTGCTCTAGAAGGAACCATTTTCCATTATTGTGTGTTTTCCCAGGTGTATACTCATCTCCATGTCATTGAGGAACGGATGAACCAAAGTCTTGCGTTGCTGTACAAGAATCCCCAGCTAACTCAAGAGCTCCGAGGAGACATAGGTACATGGGTCATATCCTTCATATCCCAAATATCATCCCTCCTCAACTCTTAAATTAAATCTTCTGTTCTTCACTCACCCTATTGCTTGTAGAGTAGGATGCCTTCCCAATTAGGTCAGCCTGCTCTTAAGTACTATACAAACAGTGGTTACTTCAGTAGTTAGTTTGATTGGTTACTTAAGTTGATATTCTCATAGTATCATTTCTACTACCTAGGGTGAGTAATTTTTGAAATACTTTTATATCAGGGGTGGGTTCTACTTACCTTTACCAGTGGTTTGCAATGGGATCGTTCACACGTGCTCACTCCGAAGCTTCTGCACATGCACAGATCACTGATGATGACATCCGGGGTGGTGGGCGGGGCCTCCCACCGGTTTTACTACCGGTTCTTGTGAACCGGTCCGAACCGGGGGCAACCCACCACTTATATATATATCCAGAGGAAGGAAGAGGCACTGTAGAATGCCCCAAATTTTACAGTTCTGAACTGAAGAAGCTTCTTGGATGAGAAGCAAAATGTTTTCAAGGAAGTTCAGTTGTCTTTTGGAAAAGCGCTTTTGGGACAACCATGTTCTGGATGATGGAGAATCTCCATAGACATTGTAGAATGTCCTATTATGAGAAAAAGTGTCAATGTAAAGGGAAATTATAGGTGGATCACACATTCAGCCAGATTTTTAGGTTGAATTTGGCATTTTATTGAGTGCTTCCCAAGCACCTGGAATTATTATTTCTTCTTAAATTGCAAAATACCTTGGTCTGGCCCAGGTGTCTATCTGCAAAGTGCATCTGTCCTACTGGATGAAGGGCTAGATTTTTTTCAGAAGGAAAGTTCTCCTATAAAGAATGAATGAATCTGAGCATCTTGTCAGGGTTCCGACAGATGCCCTAATTAAATTATGAGCCTCCAGCCAAGCTTCAAAAGAAATCCAGTTATTTATTAGGAGCTTCATGTCGGCACATTCCAAGTGAAGCCAACTCTGACTCCACCTAATTTATGACCAAGGCATGACCCTGTTTCCCCCCTCCCCCCAGGGTGTGCCACCAGTCACATTCACCAACGGAGCAATTTCACGGGTTGTAGAGATCACTCCCCTCCGGTCGCTGTGGGTAACCCTGGGAGACAGCCTTGAGAGAGATATGTCTGGAATATGCTTTTGTTTTTGGCTGCCATGCTGCTTCACCAGTTTTCCCATCCCCCTTACCTATGGCAACTTGAGAGCAGGCCAGGGATGCTTTGCGAGTTGACACATCTCTTGAAATAAAAACCTTTGCAAAAAAACATTGGGATCTATTGTAGCAGACAAGGTAGAGTCTCAAAACTCTAAGATAGGGCTCCAAATAATTTACTTCCCATTTCCCTATCTTCTAGAGGAGCTCCTGCGATCCGAACGGGTGTCCACTAATGACCTTCTTACTACCTCCATCTCCGAGACCCGCACCACAGAAGAGTTCCTACCCATGGACAGTGGCGAGGATCTAGCTGCTGAGAGCCATGATGGAGAAGGTGGGTCAGATAAATTGCTCCTCACTGCTTTCTCGAGTCTTTGCCAAAGGTCAGGAAGCTAGAAGGAGAAAGCCACCTAGTTCTGAAACATCTCACTAGATCTTAGTTTGCAGTACATGAAAAACATGTTCCCAGTTTGAAACAGAAAATAATTACAATCTTTATTGTAATTATTATTACAATCTTTATTGTAATTACAATCTTCCTTCAGTTTTTAAGGTTTTTAAAGGTTTTTAAAATCAGCAGAAGGAAAACAGTATGGTGATTCATTTTTGTTTCTGGAACTCACCGCTATCTGTGTATCTGCCTTTGGGGTCTGAATGTGGTTCTTTGCATAGTCAGCCAGAGTTTTAGATTGGATTTGGCATTTTTATCCACCTATCAAGTCCTTTCCAAGGACCTGGGTTGAGCAGATGTTGCTGTTACTTATTTATTTTATTTATTTTTATTTATTTTATTTTGTCGAGTACATATTAGATAATATATATAAGTATAAGCATGAACTGAATACATAAAATGAATGCAATTAAAGGGAACATTAGGGCAGGGACGGTATTAGATGGTGTTAAGCTATCGTCACAGGATGTAAGCTGTTCCAAGTAAAAGTGCTTTTTGCAATTGACTGGTAGTGAGTTTGTCAATGCCAAAGGGTGTTCAATTTTTTTTTTTTAATTTGATTTATATGCCGCCCTTCTCCGGAGACTCAGGGCGGCTTACAATGTGCTAAGCAATAGCCTTCATCCTTTTGTATATTTATACAAAGTCAGCTTATTGCCCCCACAACTGGGTCCTCAATTTACCTACCTTAGAAAGGATGGAAGGCTGAGTCAACCTTGAGCCTGGCGAGATTCGAACCTGCAGTAATTGCAGGCAGCTGGTCTTAATAACAGGGTGCTTTAGACCACTGTATTACCAAGGCTCCTCAGTTGCTCCAGTTGCTTTGGAACTGTACCCAAGGTGCCTACACTGTTGTTGTTGTTGTTGTTGTTGTTGTTGTATCTAGAGAACAGTTGAACAACGTAGCCAGTGGTGGGATTCAAATAATTTAACAACCGTTTCTCTGCCCTAATGATTTATTCCAATAACCAGTTCACCAAACTGCTCAGAAAGTTAACAACCGGTTCTCCCGAAGTGGTGCGAACCAGCTGAATCCCACCACTGAATGTAGCCTTAAACAATATTAGGATAGGCAGTTTCTGCTTGCAACTGATAGAAAAACAGATAAACCATTCGAAGATGTCAAAGTGCCAACAATATCAAAAATAGAAAAATACATTCCTGTTGTAAAAACGGCTGGTTCAGGTGATAGATTGTGTCAGCTAAAGGAAAATAACAATGAGCATGCAAGCAAGTTGAGCAGGACAGCTAGTGAAATTCTCTAAAGCCAAAGATGCAGGGAAAAAAGATAGAAATTCTGTTACCTGTGATAGGGAAGGAGAGCACTATGGTACAAACTCAGCATTAAAAGAGCATGCTTTACCTAATGTTGGCTGGGGAATTCTGAAGCCCACCCATCTTAAAGCTGCCAAAGTGGAGAAATATTGGCCTAAAACAATATTAGTAATATCCTTTCTTTTGGTAGGCAAAGTAACAAAATAATCCTATGAAATCAGCATACCGCAATTGTTAAAAGATAGGGGGAATGCTTAAAATTTAGAACAAAAGCTTAAGGTTTTAAAAACACTATTAGGAATGGGATCTGATTATCCTCATAGAGTAAGATGTTCTATACATACGGGGCCAGCAAGAAACTATTTCCAAAGACAATCTGTTAATGTACTTCTGTTCTGACCGAGGCTTCCTGAGTCAGTAAAACACACCAGTAGTCCCAAAAACCTCTTTAATTTCAACGGCTGTGAATTCTGTTCATTCACAGATGAGTCCCAAATAGTTGTAAAGAGTCCTTCAGGATAAGGCTGATAATCACCCACCTTTATCTCCCTTGACACGCTGCCAAAGACCTAATTGGCAAAGCACACGGAGTCCAGAATCAAACAGAGCTTCAGACTTTAAACTGCACAGAATTAACAATGTTGCTTCCTGCAAAGGCCCACGTGCCTTTGCTCCTCTTTTAAGTCTTATGGGAGGGGCCAATCATCTCCCAGCCCTACTCCCTAGTCGTCACTTTTGTTTTAATAGTTCTTGCCTTCTGGCAGGTCAGTGCATGCACGCACTGGGAACAGGCTCCCCCTGTTCCTCTGCCTCGCTGAGGTCCGACTCTGGAGGCTCCGGAGGTAGCATGTACCACCCAAATGGCCCTTTCTCTGCCTCCGATGCAGAGCCCTCGTCCGAGCCTTCCCCAGATTCCAGGACTTGCCAATGTTCCTCCCCAGCCTCCTCACTGTCCAACTCTGCTGCCAGCTCCACAGGCTGCTGGCGGATCACAACAACATCCAATTTCTTTTGCCTTGATAAACTGGCTATTAGAAGAATGCAGATCTAAGCATCCCCAAAAGTCTAGCTTCCGTTCTTCCTCCATCATTTTCCATTTTCCCTCTCTGATGTTTATAATCCTGCTGATGTCAAAGTTACGCTAGCAATAGCTTCCCATTAGCACAAAGATATGACAAGAGTAACGCAACAGTTTTGCCTCCGGCACAAGGAGAAAGATAAGTCAGCAGATTTCAAGGACAAGCAGCGCTCTGAAACTCATGGCTGGTTTTGATCTTGGTCCCTGACGGAGAACAAAAATAATATGCTCACGAAAGTGACTGGTAAAACTCTTTTCTTTCTTTTTTTTTTCTTTTTTTTTCTCTCTTTTTTTTTTTTTTGCTCTGATGGAATGAACGGTAATGAGAACTGTTTTTTTAAAAAAAATTAAATCCAATTAGGGCCATGATTGGAAAGATTTAGTAGTCTGCGGAATTGGCAGTTTAAGAGCACATAAGCACTGCCTTGCTGATTTAATCAAAAGAAGTACAAGGGTACAAAAGAAGTAGAAGAAGTAAACGACTTACAATCATTCGTTTAGTGACGGTTCGAAAATACGGCACTAAAAAAAAGTGACTTATGACCAGGGGTGGTATTCATGCTACTGGTTCGCAAATGTGAGTGCGCGCGCATGCGGAGAGCATCAAAAACGGGTCATGATGACGTCCGGTTGGGCGGGCGGAGCCTCCCACAGCCGCCGCTACCTGTTTGCCCGAACCGGATAGAACCGGCTGAATACCACCACTGCTTATGACCGTTTCTCATACTTAGGACCGTCGTGCATCCCCATGGTCATGTGATCAATATTCAGGCACTTAGCAACTGGCTCATATTTATGACGGTTGCAATGTCCCGGGATCATGGGATTATAGCTTTTGCAACCTTCTGACAAGCAAAGTTAATGGGGAAATCACATTCACTTAACAGCTGCAGTGATTCACTTAATAACTGTAAGCAAGAAATGTTGCAAAATGGGGTGAAACTCACTTAACAACTGTCTCACTTAGCAAAATAAATTCGGGGCTCAATTGTGGTCATAAATCAAGGACTACCGGTATTGATTCCTGCATCTTAGATGAGAAGTATGCTAAATGGAGCTGCTTGCAGATTTGTCTCCCCTGTCTCAGCATCGTATTGTGTGTCTCTCGCCTCTTCTTCTCAAAATTATCTTTCTTTTTCTGTTCTCTTTTTCCTCTCTGCCATGCTCTCCTCCTCCTCTCCTTCTGATGCTGTTGTGGGGAATGGGCAGATTCTGAATCGGCTGACAAGAAAGGTAAGTTCTCAGCTCTACTTCTTCACGGAGTCCTTCTCTGCAGGCTTTAGTAGCAATGACTGAGACCAAAAGAAATGGGCGCGTGGATTGTTACCAACCGAGGCCTCTCTTCCTCTAACCCTCACCTGATTCTCTTCTCTTCAGCTTCAGGGCTGGCAGAATACGACTATCCAACTAGTGACAAAGCCCTGCTGTATGAGTATGAACATAAGGTAGGTACGGAAGACATATTCTGGCCTTTTGTTACTGTTTATTACAATGACATGCTCCTTTCTTCCAAAATGGAGAGAGAATTATATGAGGTCCTCTAAGACAATGTTTCTCAACCTTGGCAACTTGAAGATACATGGACTTCAGCCAGTGGTGGGATTCAAATAATTTAACGACTGGTTCTCTGCCCTAATGACTGGCTGGGTGGGCGTGGCCATGGTGGACGTGGCCAGGGTGTGTGACAGGCAGCAGTCCTGCACCCCCTGGGAGCAAAAACAGGCTGCCAGAGGGGGACGCACTGTCGCCCCCCGTGTGCCCCATTTTGGGCCTAGTAGGCCTACCTGAAGCCTCCTGGGAGCAAAAATGGGGCGTGTGGGGACTCCTGGAAGGGGCGGGGTGGGAAGGGAAGGAGCCAGCCAGCAATTTATCTACCGGTTTGCCCGAACCGGCTGAATTCAACCACTGACTTAAGGTCCCAGAATTCCCTAGCCACTCATGCTAGCTGGGAAATTCTAGGAGTTGAAGTCCACATATCTTCAAGTTTCCAAGGTTGAGAAGCACTGCTCTAGAAACTAATAGACCACCGTTTCCACAACCCTAGGGCTAATGGTATATTTCAGAGTTCAGCAACATCTGGATGATAAAGAGAATCGGTATAGACTTAGACTTAGAATAACTTTATTGTCACTTTAAATGTACACTAATCGGCATACGTTAAAATGAATTTTTGTTGCATACAGCTCCCAAAGGGTCATCACCTCCACTATACACCATATAAACATGACAAAAATACAAATAAATGAATAAATAAATAAATATGCATATACCCACATATATTATATAGACTTTGGTCATTAGTGTTAAGCAAAGTTGATGGAGACGTCTCTTAATCTTACCTTATCCTAAGTAATTCAGAGCAATATATGTGGTTTCCCTCTCCCGTGGTGTTTTTCCCCCTCCTTTTTTATTGTGTTCTTACAAATCTTGATGCGGTACATTATTCAAAGGCGGTGATGTTTACGTAACGTCAAATTATTTGTTGTATAATAGAGGTTTTGATTTTAAGCTGATTACTTAAATATTGAGGGTTAATCTCATAACATCACTCAGAAAGAGGTCAGATTAGGAGACGGCTCCATCAACTTTGCTTGAGACTGGAGACCAAAGTCTACCAACTCTCTTTTATCATTTGTTGTTCTAGATCAGTGTTTCTCAACCTTGGCGGCTTTATTGGCAGCTTTAAGATGTATGGACTTCAATCGGCTGAAGCATGCTGGCTGGGGAATTCTCACACATCTTAAAGCCACTTAGGTGGCGGGGGGGGGAAACAATGTTTTAGGTCATTGATTCAACATGGAAAAATGGCAATGGGCTTCTTATATGCAGTTTATTTATTTATTTAGCATATGACATATATACATGGACTAGCAATACATATTAACATTTCATTTGGATTAGCAGAAGACAATCTATATATATAAAAGCCAAATACCACTCACTCATCATGAAATCTCCAAAGCCTACAAACTTGAAATTTGGCATATATGTTCCTCTTGGCTTCTAGATGCTCACTAAGAAAGGATTTTTCGAAATGACCATCAGATCATTAGTATTTCATATACAGTATTATATTCACATGCTTTGATGCTAAGTAATTAGACGTTCTACTCCCCCTCCCCACCTGAAAGGAACTCTGTCCCAACTGCCAGTTGCCTTATATTAATACGCTCTGATGCTACCCCTTCGTTAAACCGGGCATGGGCATGGCCAGTGTGTGACTTATCTGGCCTGTGGGCTGGAACATTCTACTCCCCCTCCCCCTCTGTTCCAACTGCCAGTTGCCTTATATTAATACGCTCCGATGCTACGGAGTTACACATTCTACATTAAATTTCAGGCTTTAAGTGTCAATTTATCACGCCCGATCACATAGTTTTATAGCGAAGCATGGGTGTCCAGCTAGTAAAATATAAATGTTAAAAAGATCAATCTTCAAATACCAATGTCTAGGCCATCTAACCATTGAAGAGCAGCTACTGGATTAATAGATGCCCTCAGTTTACAGCTGATCACAATGTGATCTACAGTTTGATGTGGGACCACACAGTCATGCTGAGGGGAGGATATCATGCCCCATTTATACATGGGGTCCCAACAGATGCCATGTGAGGTGCGACACCTGTTCAGGATTGTCCGTTGCTGATGTGGTAGTTCAAAGCCTGGTGTATTTTATTTTTTTTTATATGCAGTGATATGTACCCATCCCATCTCTTTTCCATGTATTAACTTTGCAATGTCCAAGGAGACGTTTGAGATGCTTGTGCTTTCAAATGAATAATTGCTGTCTTGTGAAGGTTGATGCATTGCCATTATCCCATACCGGGGCATGTTTCTCCATGTTCCACTTTGAAAGAGAGAGAAAATGCATCTCTATTTAGGTTATATATTGGAGTAAAGGAGCTATGCACTCTATAAAGGATGAGGTTGCAATTGTCTCATGTGACTGGAAAGAGTTTGCACTAAGAGGAAGATAATGTTGCTGGATTGTCCATCCAGCTTTGCATCCCCCGGACTGTATCACTTAAATCAAAAACCATTCCCCCATCCATCCCATAGGTCAATGTGTCTGCCTCAGATGTCAAAGGCATGGTGTACAAGTCCCAAGAAATACAACGGGATGAACTGGTAAGTAGCTTTTCAAGGCACGCTCCCTTCCACCTATCAAGAGGGCTTCAGCACCCCTTCAGCTTCCTTGTGAGTCACGTCTGCCCTGCCAAAAAAGCCAACACAGTTCTAGGCTGCATTAATAGGGGGATAGAATCAAGGACCCATGAAGTGTTAAATACCAATTTATAATGCCCTGGTAAGGCCACTCTTGGAATAGGGCAGCACGGTTTGGTCGCCGCGATGTAAAAAAGATGTTGAGACTCTAGAAAGATTTCCGAAAAGAAGCAACAAAGATGATTGGAGGGTTGGAGGCTAAAATATTTGAAGAACAGTTGCAGGAATTGGGTATGTCTAGTTTAATGAAAAGAAGGACCGGGGAGACATGATAGTAGTGTTCCAATATCTCAGGGACTGCCACAAAGAAGAGGGAGTCAAACTATTCTCCAAAGCACCTGAGGGCAGGACAAGAAGCAATGGGTGGAAACTAATCAAGGAGAGAAGCAAACTAGAACTAAGGAGAAAATTCTTGGCAATTAAAACAATTCATCAGTGGAAAGATTTACCCCCAGAAGCTGTAGGTGCTCCAACATTGGAGGATTTTAAGAAGAGATTAGACAACCATTTGTCTGAAACTTTATAAGGTTTCCTGCTTGAGCAAGGGGTTGGACTAGAAGACCTCCAAGGACCCTTCCAATTCTGTTATTTTGTTATAGGGTTTTTAATCCTTTAATCATTTGGAAGCAGGAGACAAATAGTTAAAAAAATAAGGTCAAATGCAACTAGGCTTTTTGCTTTGGTTTTAGTATAAAGCCCCACCTTGATCTATCCGTGGAAAAATTTACATCCAACTTGGTCCAGAGAACTGTGCAAACTGCTCTCCATATAGAAACCTTTTTTTATTATTATTATTTTAAAGCAAAACCACAAAAGATTGTAGGCAAAACTCTGGTTTCTATCATCTCTCCAGTTCATTGTGTGTAAAAGTGTGGTGAAAGTTTTAAGTACGGAAAAACTTGGTGGGTTTGCGTGTGTTCGTTTGTTTTTGCTTTTGAATTCAAATAATGAATGAGCCACCCTGAAAATTAAGGGTGGCTTCATCAAATGAAGGGTGGCCTCATCCTTGAGGATGGTACAGTTCACCTCTCTTGTCCTCAAGAGCAGGCTCACCTCTTCTGTGTTTGTCTTATCCTGTCTCTGTGGTTGTCCTCGTCTATTGGGCCCGAGATACACAACTACCCAAAAGGACAAGAGAAATTCCACAAAAGTTATTGCAGCATCTCCTTCTTCCTGAAAATGCACTAATAATCAAAAACAGTGAGAACAAAGGTTGGCTGCATTGCTCCTTTCACTAGTTCTATAAGGCAGTTTCATATATTCTGGTCACTTAACAAGATATCATCTACACTAAGGTTTCACAAACTTGGCAACTTTAAGACCTGTGGACTTCAATTCTCAGAATTCCCCAGACAACATAGTTGGCTGATCTACACAAACGTTGTATCCTCATATTATGAAGGGAAAAGAGGATGTTTAGATTCAGAACCTCCATTCCGGAAATAATTCTGCATGGAGCAGAGGTGGGATTCACATAATTTACCTACCGGTGCACTTCGCTCTCACGCGCCACCTCCGTGCATGCGCCCGGCCTTCTGTGCTTGCACTTTGCTTGCGCACGTGCCTTCCGCGCATGTGCCCGGCCTTAAAAATGTGCCTAAAAAGGACAGCATAGAGCCGGGGTGATTTCCGCTACCAGTTCGCCCGAACCGGTTGGCTCGAACTGGTCCGAACCGGCTGAATACACCTCTGGTATGGAGACATATCTCACACATTCATTCACATCTGATTAGACTTCATAACAAACATGCAAATGGCAGTTTGACTGCAGCATCTAAGCAGTCCTAGCTGATCTTGGAAACTAATCAGAATGGGATCTGGTTCATGCTTGGGTGGAGACCACAAGAAAACACCATCACCGTGTAGACTAACTTGAGGATTGAGAAAACATCCTAGAAAAAGGCAGTGCCAACCTCTTCTATATTGTTGTCAAGAGAACTGTACAGATAGAAGAGAATATTTGTAGCTCAGCATTGAACTGTGGGGTTCTTGATGCTCTCTGAGCTTGGTGGTTTTCTTGCAGATGTTTCATTACCAAACTAGCTAACATCATCAATCCTGTCAATGAACTATACAGAACTATACAGTCACGTCCATGAAGTCTACAGGAATCCAGCTTGCCTTGAAAAAGACTTGGCTACAACTTGCTATACTTGTAGGTGGTGGCCTGAAGGAACTGCTTTGCTTACAGCTATATATTTTAAATAACCAGGCCTCAACTTAGTGCCTCTTGGCCACTAGCCCCACGCATCATTTCCTTTTTGTTTGTGGCTGTGTCAATGTTCATAGTAGCATCCTATACAGATGAGAGAGATCACGTAGTAAGTCCCACTGCTGCCAGTCTTTATCAATGACATTGGTTTCAGGTGCCTGGGCTTTTCAAAGGTACATCAATTAAAGCTTGTAGCATCTGGAAAATGCCAAAAGGATCTGTGTAGATTTACAGGCCAAACAGATAGTTGACATCACCAGCTTTTGACTGGGAATTTTTTACTTTGGTTAGTTTCAGATCTCCTTCTCCTTCTCCTTCTCCTCCTCCTCCTCCTCCTCCTCCTCCTCCTCCTTCTCTCTCTCTCTCTCTCTCTCTCTCTCTCTCTCTCTCTCTCTCTCTCTCTCTCTCTCTCTCTCTCTCTCTCTCTCAGCTATCCTATTTGGGTTATCTAGTCTTGGCAACTTAGCTATTGAAATTTGATATTGTAAAATTTTAATGTCATTTATCATATATTTTTAGATTGCTATTTTTGTAACTGTTTTATCTTTTTCCCTTTTTCTTTTCTGTTTTGTTTGAAAAGGCCTTCGGGCTATTCAATAAACTATACTATACTCTCTCTCTCTCTCTCTCCCCACAAAAGTATATTGAATGGCACTGCCTAGCATCTCTTTGGCAGGTTCTTGTGTGATCCCTATTCAATCATGTAATAATTCTGAGGTGTAGGGTTGTTTTTCTTTTTCTTTTTTGCTTCTTCCTTTTCTCAGACAGGAAGGCACAACCACTTTTCTTGAATTGGGTGTTATTGTTACAGCGAGCTCATATGATGTGTTACTTTAGGACTCTTGGGAGAATTCCATCTGCTGCCGGTGATTTATGAGTTTAATCTATTTGTTTGTTCTAAAGTGTCCTTTAAAGATGATTCTGTTTGTGTCACTTCTTCAGATTTATTGCCTTGGTGGAGAACAATTTGGATCTATTTTGCCAACCTTGCCTTTGTCTTGGGCAGATGCAAAGCAGTCATTTAACTTCTCAATAATATTTCTGTCTCCCCTAAGTGCTTTTTTTACATCTTGATGGTCTAATGACCCAAACCATTATGTCTGGCAAACTTCCTGCTTCTAATGCAATCCTTTTAACATTTTTCTCCTTGGCTTTTATACCTCTTATCCAGATTATATTTTCTTTTTTTCTTTCTTGGCCCAACCTTATTAGGCATTTTATTATGTTTCAACTGATAGTATTTCAATTCTTTGAGGATTTTTCCCCACACGGGCAATAGCTTTAATTTTTTTCCCTAAGGGACACATTTTTAAAATTCTATTTAGTTGCTCCAATGTTTTCTTTAAAACTGTCTTTGAAGAAGTCAAGTAAGCTCAAATTTGTCATTGTGGTTATATTCGTGCACGGGTTTTTTTGCATATATCTTAATGGCAGTGGTGGAATTCAAATTTTTTTTGCTACCGGTTCTGTGGGTGTGGCTTGGTGGGCGTGGTGTGGCTTGGTGGGCGTGGCAGGGGAAGGATACTGCAAAATCTCCATTCCCACCCCACTGCTGGGGGAAGGATATTGCAAAATCTCCATTCCCACCCCACTCTGGGACCAGCCGGTTCTCTGAACTACTCAAAATTTCCGCTACCGGTTCTCCAGAACCTGTCAGAACCTGCTGAACAGCACCCCTGCTTAATGGATGGTTTATAATTGGTCTTACATTTAGTTTAGTTTAGTTTAGTTTATTTAATTTGTATACCGCCCTACTCCCGAAGGACTCAGGGCGGTGAACAGCCACAGGATAAAAACACATACATACAAAATTTAAAACTGAATAAAACCGAATAAACAACAATTGTAGGTGTTGGGAGCTACAAATATTTGTGATTTTCATGTCAAGCTCTACAGTACACTTGGCTGAATTGGAAGTAAACAGGAGCAGTTTGAAGCCATCAGTTTTAATTATCTTGAGTGCTTACAGTAGAAAGGCGATGCTTAAATCTAGTAAATATATATAAGGCTTCAAAATCTTGCTTGCTCAGCCATTATAGAAAGTATAGCTAGAGTAGAACTGGGGAGTTAATAGCTCCAGGATAAAGGAAAAGCTTCAAGGCTATTCAAAGCTGAGTTGCAAAATGCAGAGAAAATAGATTTTCATATCCATGTGCACATTTGGAGCCTTCTCAAAACGGCTCGCAAATATATTAAATCAGGCTTCTCCAGCTTTGATGCCCTCCAGCAATGTTGAATATCCAGAGCCTAGAAATTCCCAGTAGGCTTGGTTTTGTGAAGTTGAAGACACACATGTCTGGAGGGCATGAGATTTGGAGAGGTTGTAATCAATCAAGTGACAAAGCCGGTTTTAAATGGAGAATTAATTACAGTAGCAGAAGAGGCAGGAGCAGCTTCGGGAAAACTTGAGCATAAAGAAAAAGCCAGATGGATACGATCAAATGCTTATTTAACATCACATCCTTGTTCTGATAATGGCCAGAAGAAAGTCATCCAGTAAAGATATAAGCGTGATTGTAGTTTTGTTTTCGTCAACTGAAAGTGAAAAAGATACTCTTTCTAAAACTAGAGTAAATATACAATCAGTAGTAGTCAGGGGTGGGCTGCTGGGGGTTTGCAGGGGTTCAGGAGAACCTCTAGCTAAGATTCTGTGTAGTTTGGAGAACCCCCCAAATCCCACTCCTGGTTGGCC